GCTGGCTTTTTGAACTTTAGTCCTCCGCCCGCTGCACCTACCGCCCGCCATTCCAGACGATTAACGGAAGTGCCGTGTCACGATTAAGAAATGGGACACGACGATTCTCGGGTTGATTTCGCTGTGTGTCTGTCGTCGAGTCGATGGACTTCTTTCGGTTTGGTGTGTGACTGAGGATCGTGATTCTTGGGATTCTGGAGCTCTGATTGGGTGGGAGTTCGTGTGCTTCGAAGAGAGATTTCGTGATTCGAGAGAGGTTTTGTGTTAAAAGAGGGGATTCTTAGACGTTTCTGAAAGGAGGAAAATTTGATTCTAGGAATACGAGGAAAGGATTAAGTTGTGTATCAATTCCTGTAATGGAAATTTTAGTGATTCATGAGGAAAGATCGAGTTGTGATGGAGGATATAATTGGAGAGGGAAAGTTTTTAGCAATTTTTCTTTTTTGGATGTTTCATTTGTTTGCGACGTCAATGGTTGGACAATTATGGAGAATGATTTTGATTGCGATAGGGATATAATTAGACGGGGAAATTTTATTTTCTGAATTTTTAGTTTATCTGTGACTTCGGTGATTGGACAATTATCAAGAATGATTTGTATTGTAATCAAGGATATAATTAGAGAGGCAAATTTAATTCTCTGAATGTTTAATTTAGCTACGACTTCGGCGATTGGACAATTATCAAGTATGATTTGCATCGCGATCAGGGATATTAATTAGAGAGGCAAATTTTTTAACAATTTTTGTTCTCTGAATTTTCAATTTATTCAACATTTCAGTGGTTGGTTAATTATCGAGGAAGATTAGGATTGTGATTAGCGATATAGTCAGACAGGGAAATTTAATTTTCTGAATTCATAATTTATCTACGACTTCAGTGAACGATTTGAATTGCGACCAAGGATATTAATCAGAGAGGGAAATTTTTTAACAATTTTTGTTTTCTGGATTTTTAATCTATTTCAGATTTCAGTGATTAAGTAATTATTTAGGAAAATTAAGATTGTGATTAGAGACATAATTAGACGAGGAAACATGACTTCAGTGATTGGACAATTATCGAGAATAATTCGCATGGTAATCAAGGATATAATTAGAGAGGCAAAGTTTTGAACAATTTTCGTTTTCAGAATGCTCAATTCGTTAAAAATTGCAATCGAGAATGTCCAATGTTGTTCATAACAAGTGAATAATTACTTAATCGAACCAGGCAGCTCTAATGAATGCACAAAGGATTTCGCAAGAATTCGAAAGGAGAACGTTCGAGTTACGCAACAGCCACGCCGCAACGCCTTAACCCGATTTTCGAGAGCATGTAAATACTCATACGTACACTGAAAACAATACCTACTCGTGAGAAGCATCGACGATGCGCCGAGCCTGTGCCTAGGGAGCGTCGACTTTCAGCGTGGAAGAACGTTACAGCAGAACTTTCGCTCTCGGTTCACTTCTACTTTCTTCGATCCGCTCCGAGTATCCCTCGTGTTCACGATCTCCAACAATTAAAAAACCACTGCACTGTAATTAAAAACTGAACTACACGAAAAACAGTCCTCAAAAATTCTTCCTCTTCCTCCAAAAAAAAAAAACTACAAATTACTCCAAACTCTCTATCGATCCGGTCAAACGCACTCCCACGCAGTTCGATTAAAAATGAAATCACTGACACCAACACTGCTCGAACGATCTGTTAAAAACTTTGGGTAACTTTCGATCGACGTACCAGGTGAACGAAAACCGAACTGCAAGGATTATCACGTTTTCGTTGAGTAATTACGGTGGATGTATTACGTAGATGGTGTAGGACGACGCGTGTGCG